TACCCCTCTGGGTGACAGGCGTGAGTGTTTATGTATGATGAATAGACTGGTTAATAAATCACGTCTTTTGAACTTATTTACTAAAATCGGCCTATGGAAGTATAAGTAGTTAAGAGTTCTTGAACTACAAACAGATAGAATTTTTTTATGGAAAAAGCAACATAAATTGTAATTTTTTCAGTTATAGTTTTTACACTATACCATCTGTGGGAGAAAGATAAAGAAAAAATCTACCAACACCATATAGTATCTATTTCTTTGCGTTTCATATAGATCTTACAGTTACTGCCATGTATATTCAGCAATGGACTTACTATTTAAGTCCACGGCTGAACAAAGGTCTCCCCTCTAGCTTGCCTCATAAGGAGTTCTTTTCCATAGTTGCCACATTTGGCAATCGCATTTGTTTTTAAGAAGTTATTAGAAAGAAGCTGCTGCCATCTCCGGATTTGTTTCCCTCTATCGTTCCTTACGGTACCCATGGGAAGATATGGGGTAAAGGATATTCATACACCACTATGGTACTACGTACTAGTGTGACAGTAATACTTTAAACCACGAAGTATGTTATATAAATATATAATACAATATACTCACAGCAATACATATTTAACAGTCATAACATTATCAACAAAATCTTCACTAGGGCTGCACTTGGCCATTGTCACATTCATATCTTTCATTATGACAAATCTTCTGGTAGCATTGTAGAGTTCATCCTAGAATAATATTTTTTTTGGAATTAATTATATCAAGCATATATTGTCAGTTATGTGATAACATAAGCCTATAAGGGTTCTAAAGGGCAGGTTACACTGGCAAAAATAATATTTATGTTGGAATATGAGGTGGTCATTTTTCTTTTGATGTCAAGACTATCAAAATTTTTCTATAAACATATATAGTCAAAAGGATGTTTTTTCAGAATGAGTTAAGACAACACATTAACAAATTAGGGTATCTACCATTTAGTTCGCCATTGTGCTGGTCTTAAATACAATTATTAGATCTTGAATTGATTGATTTAGAATTTGAACAATTATTTTGTGCGAATTCATTATACTAAGGCTAAGACATTTACAAATGATGGTTTAGTTAAACTTTAAAGATAAAGTAAAAACCGACTTGAAAAACTAAATAGGACATAATAATTTTTTTTCAGTTTTTGCACTTTGTTTATAATTATTATGGGAAAACAAAAGAAGTTACGGCCGCACATATATACAGAGGACTTGAGCACCTTCTGTTTATCAAGCTGGTTAAATAATAAATAAAATACCACCACTCCACAGTTACTAAGGCGATTATATGGAATTATCTAGTGCGTGAGATGGTAGGCAACATCTTTAAATCTTTACATGATAATCATTGCAAATATTCTTTATTACATATAGAAAAAAATCACTATTTATTTTTTATAATTAATTCAAAATGGTTCATTACTTTCTACAAAATGTTTCTATGTAAGGTTTGTCATTTGATTGTCGCAAGTTGTACCAAAAGCCAATAATTAAACAGCCAAAACCAAAACCAGCAGTTTGTATTTTAGCATGAAACTTAGCTTGGTTTATATTCAAGCCAAAGGCCTGTTAATAGTGCTTTTGTATTTTTTTATTATTATTTTTTTAAATATAAGAAGGCAGTTAACATACATAAATTGTATATTAACTTGCCATGCCAAGGACACACATCCAGACCCGGAATAATTATTTGTAGGCCTTGTAAACTTGTTTCATGCAGGTTTCTAACTTGTAGCTCTGCAGCCCTATGACTAAAAGCTTAGCCTCAGTGCTATTGAGCTGCCGATGCAGTTGTCAAGTGTGCAAATATGCACAGCAATTACTTAATTTCCTCCCCATTAGCAAGAAAACAGTCCATAGCTGGGCTTTCAAAATAAGAAAATCATTATGATTTTACCACACATATTTTATTCATTTGCATAATGTAACTTACTAAGCCCTCTGGTCCATGTAAAGTGATATTTGGCACACCAACATCCTGAAGAGTAAGGGAAAGGCCTGGCAGTCCACCTAGATTCTTCCATGATTTGTTGGTAATGAAGATATGATCTAATCTTGTCAGCTTAACTTTATGTTCATGAGCAAGTCTCTGTGTCGATTCACCACAGTTAAAGAGGTATCTAGAAAAATATCAAAACCATTGATGAAGAGTTGGTGTCTGTAGATTCATGTTTGAGAAGGGCATTGCCGATACGTCCGATACGTCATAGGTTACATCATACGTCACCAATACGTCAAAGGGAGACAAACGGGGTAGAGAAACAAAATAGCAGTTAAGTAAGCAAGCAGTAGCATTTGTTTGTAGATCATCATCATCATCATTACAGCCTTTCACAAGTCCACTGCTGAACATAGGCGTCCCCCAAGGTATGCCACAAAGCACGGTCCTGAGCCACCCGCATCCATCGACTTCTTGCATGTCTTACCAGGTCGTCACTCCATCTAGTTTGTAGATAGCTACATGCAAATGCTACCTGTTCACAAGCAGCCTATGTACACGCAAAGTTCTACTACATATTTCAATCTACCCACACTAGAGTGATATCTTATCATTGTTTCTATCTATCTATTAAAAATCTATAAAAATCCACTGATGAGCATGGGCTTCTTTCATAAGCCACCTCATATTCGCCATAGTTACTACACTTCATAGGCATTGACACCCATGGAACAATGTGGGGTAGTATAAACAAAATTTTACTTTACATATAGTGTAGTTTTTTACTAACTGCTTATTCTCAAAGTTGCCATAAAGACATAAGAAGATTAAAAACTTAGGCCACATTTTCTTGCCCAGCATTGCAGCCCCGCATAACCTGCACAGTCAGCTAGCTATGTTCCCTTGCTTTTATAGATTTCACAACAAGGATGCCCAAAGAAAATGCTACAAGGCAAAAATTGCTTTAGGTACATGCAGTCGTTTTGTCAGGAACAACTGGGGCTTGTGTTCCAGTATGGTTCCTATGGATGTACAGCATAGTGAGGCTGATCCTCACCTATGCCTCCACTGTCTGGTGCAACAAGGCCAACCAAAAGACGACTGCGGACAGACTAAATAGTCTACAAAGGACTGCCTGCTTAATGGCAACTGGAGCTATGCGATCATCGCCTGGAGCAGCTCTTAATGCACCTCCATGCTTAACGCCCCTTGATCTTTATCTTGACAAGGAGGTGAAGGCTAGTTTGTATAGAATTAACGCCCAGGCGGTCTGAGCATGCTCTTTCACAGATCAAGCTTGCTTGCTTTCTTACAGGAGAAGTAGGAGCCGCACTCCATCGACTGGGCTTCCCTCAACTGCGCTACGGGAAAGAGTTGGGGAGGGAAGCACCATGCTACTCAACGTTACACTCAATCTTACACACAATAAAAACCAAAATAAAAAATTAATAAACATACATTTTTTAATTTTTTATTAAATTTTCGTTTTTTTTGTGTAGATTATGAAAAAAAAAATATAACAACTTCATTTGATTACTTTTAAAAAAGTTATCAACAATTATATGTGAATGAGTACATTTTCATGAACATTTAAAGCCTTGAAACTAATATAAGTTTTCATTTTTTTATTCTTGTAATTTTTTTCGTAAATCCGTCGTAGTAATGAAGGTTTAAAAAAAAATCATCGAAATCAGATGATTTTTCGATTTTCTAGAGCCAAAAAACGAGGTGACCGCGATAATATAACATTACCCAAGTTTGTAATGATAGTTAATAGTAACCACAGAATTAGTAATTCATACATAGAGCGAAGTATACGCTCGTAAAATGAACACACAGCTGAACAATGCATTGGATTTTCACGAAATATATTATTATTATATAATTTACGTACATTTGATCTTTAACTCACTTTCTTGTACCTAAATATTATTAGTATAGTAAGCTAAAATAATAATAATAATTAATATAAAATGTAAAGTATATTAATAGAAAAAATGTTACCGTTTTTGATCCGTAAAAAGATATAACGTGTTGGGAGCTCCTCTTGCCCCCGAACCAAGTACCTGGAGATAGACTGTACTTGGTCCATAGTTTTGAGACTTTTTCGAAATTTGCTGGCGTTGACGTTGTGCTTCGGCAATCCTAGCAGAATTTGCTTTAGGCATTTTGGCTAAAAATTCCAACAACCGTGTTGTATCTTTTTTGTGGTGTCGAACGCTATTTATATTAAATCTAACTACTTTACTAAGTAACACTGCTTTACCGTACATGTGTTTTGAGGTTATTCACTATATAAGCGAAAGTTTACGAGCATTCGTTCTGTCTAAAAATAGTTCTTAGATAGAAATACATAATTTTAATTCATTATAATATTTATACTTAACACATTTTTAGATTTTGGCCAATTTACAATTTCTGCAGTTAACTTTCAGATTTTCGGAGTTTTCAAGTTTTGTTGTTTTGACAATCTGATTGACACATTGACAGATATCAAAATGACTTTGACAGATTTTCTATTTTTAAATAGATAAATATAGAAACATGCAAGCTTTACCTATGATTAATTTTTAGTTATTTTAAATGGAAACAAAATATATATTTATATTATGTCTTAAGATTTCTTGTTACTATAATTATGAAGGTAGTTTTTTGAAAGAAAAATATATTTAACAAGGAAAATTGTTATAATCTGACGTGACATTAATGTTGCCACAATGATAAAATGTTTGTCTAATATTATTTAAAATTGACAACATCGAATTAGAAAAATGGCGTTTTGTACAGCTGTGGGTTGCGCAATTTAAATGTAAATGTGCACGAAAATCTTAATAAAAATTAAAATTTTATGTGTAATAATAATCTCAGACTTCTGAAATGCTATTTGTGTATAAATAATAGTATCAATATTGTATAGTGTTGTGGTATTGTCTTAAGTGTAAATCTGTCATGAACTGTGTATTTTTTGTGTTGTGGTGATGTATTAAAATGATAAATAATGAAAAGAAAAATGATGTGGCTGTGCAAATAATGTAACAATTATGGGTATGCTATGGGTGATTTTGTTTACGGCCTTAACGGGCCTGCATTTGGTACAAGGGTTTCCTGTGAGGCCAACGCCGCAAGTCTACCCTCACGGTAAGTGGTAGTTTTAAATATCATGTTTTTTATTTTTTCACACTGAAAAAGTGTAGTATTCATGACAAAGATACCATCTCTACAAAATTTTTATAGTAAGTAAAACTATGTACTTATATGTAAGTTATTGCCAAAGCATAAAAAGCATTTTTTTCATTTGGATATAGATAACTGTTTTAGGGTAGATTCGAAAATTTATATTAGAATCATAGTATTGCAGCTGAGAATAGGTATTTTCTTATTTAAGGTAGTATAAATAACAGTATAAAAACAAACCATTAAATAAAACTTGATGTCACACATTTTTCTCATCATTCTATATAAAAATTTATAAATGAATAGAATAGACAATGGAATAGTAGATAGAATAGAAAAACTGCATATAATGTAAAACAGAAGTGTTTCTAAGTTATGTGCTATAATTATGCTTTAATGAGATAGAAATAGGTAAAACTTATAAAAGAGAACCTAAATCTCGACCTAGCAGTTATTTTTAATTTATCTATCTATTAGAAATGTCAATGCTCTTGTAATATTAACAATTTTGTGAAAATGCCTCAATAAAATGTAATATTTATTAGTGTAACCTGATAATATGAACCTTGTTAAGTTGTAAGTCTCTATAAGATGATGGTAAAACCCCTGCCCTTACATTATAACCTCATCAACATGAAAATCTGGAATTATAATTTAGAAAAAATATTTCCCTGCAAGGGATTATTAGTTATTACTATTACATTACTCATTTATTCTCTATTACATTGCACAATTCTCTTATATCTCAATGACCGCCTTGTGAGTACATTTAGATACAGGATTATAAGATATATTTTGATAGCTATATCTTAACCAACATATAACTTAAGTCAATATAATTTACAAACTCAATTCAACTGTATTTATTTGCAAAAAATTTAATATTTTAAAAGTAAAAACCAACTTCAAAAACTAAAAAGAATGAAATAATTTTGACAAAATAGCTTGTTAGGTTGGTGCTAAAACACTTTATTAAAGAACTAAAGGCCTACTGCATAAGTATTGCAGGCAAGAGGGCTGACTACATCTACTCATACTGACTGTCAAGGACATTAAAAGAATAAAAATTGTTTTTATTTTTCCAAGAAACAGGATATTCTTACTAGTGCTACCATCTGCTTGGGATCCTATAATTAATCAAATTAAATCTGAAGCCAAGCATACTACTGCAAAACTTCAAGATATTGTAAGCTTGTTCTTCTTAGATCGGACCAAAAATTAATATCTTAAAACTGAGGGTAGCCGAGCTAACTATCATCTGGACATCAAACACCTCAGTGCCCTCTGTGACCATGTGTGCCGTAAAGCACCAGAAATGTTGCAAATTAAAAAGTTTAAATTAACTGTGATGAAGTCTGTAAAATTAGTTTCAATTTATGTGTAGTGTTTGCATAAATATAAGAAATTGTGAACACAATGTTCTATTTCTGCTCTTTTTCATTTTGGTGCCTTCTTCTATGTAAAGATTGTGTTATCTATTAAATAATTTATTTACCCACAGTACCTTTTATTTGAATTCGTGAACAAATTGCTGCAAACAACAAATACTGACTTACCTGCTTTCTTAATATGGATATGATTTGACTCATGACATAGCTATTTTGGTTTCTGCTTGTTTTAATGTTAGAGAACCCTCAGCTAAAGGGACCTGAATATACTTTTGTCTAAGCTGGAATATTTTTTAAGACGGGCCTCTGATTCAGGGCCCACTAGGGCTGTCTGTGCTACTGATTTGACTGAAGTTTCATGTAAATGTAAAGTAATATGGTAAAGATTCATGTAGTCAGCAATAATACTTGTATGATACTGAGCATAATACATTTCTATCCAGGTTCAAACGAAGCCGCAGTCTTCCAATGGGGTTCACAGGGTCTGTATGTGTTGCCAGCGCTGGCGCTGGTTCTCACTGCTATTGGACTACTGTTTGGTTGTACATGGTGTTACAGGCATAAAGATTGCAAGGTAAGAAATTATTGCTGAATAATGTGTTAATTTATGTCGTTTTCAAATTGTTCTTATTATTTTGACAATGGGTAATCTGTCAAATTACAATTTATTTATTTTGATAGATTACCCATTGTCAAAATTAATTACAAACACATTTTACTATTCTGTATACTTTTCTAACTAGATTTATTGTAGAACTATTTATGCTAAGCTACACAACTACTGTACTATTCTATCTACATCTCATTTGGTGACTAATTAAAATTTTTATTTAATAAAAAAACTACACCATAAATTTTTTATGAAAGTTAATCATTTTAAAATAACATTTAGTTTAACCAAATGACTTTCCTTGAAATTTATTCACAAGATAAAATTCTTGACAAAGATATTCACAGTGAAACAAGAGTTACTGATGTAGAACTAGGGATTGGTAAACTAAGGCTTCCAGAATAGACAACTGATGGGGAAGAAATATTATTTAGTGGTAGCGTCTAACTGATAAACGCACTGTTGGACCAACCACTATAGTCAACCAAATCTAAGAAATACCTTTTGACGTTTCACATTAATCACTCCGCAATAACTTTTCACAAGCGTACTCACACGATTTGAAATAACCTTTTACGTAAATCCGAAGAATTATGAAGTTATCTATATTTCATTACAACGTGAACAGTTTTTTATCACTAATTTAAATTTGAATTTTTCAAACAAAGCAAATTATTAAAAAATAACCAGTATTGGTTTTAGGTATTAACTTTTTCTACTTCACGTCGTTTCAATGATATGTCGCTGTGTATATTACCGTAGTGTTTGGATGATTAAAATTCATTGTTAAGCGAATAATTGACAAAATATTCAAATAATCGGGAAAAATATTCTAATAATCGAATCATAAATTTATTTAATGTATTATTTTTTTAATTTAATATTTATTTTCAAAATTCCTTAAATTACATGAATCATGAATAAAAAAGTATAATTTTTCCACTTTGTCAAAGTAAATTTGTGTAGGCAACAAATTCATATTATACAAGGCTACTATGTACTAAAATAACCACTACATAATTTCAACATCCCGCCATTTTGGTACCAGTTACTCGACTCCACAGAATCAGTAATTCATTCTTGAGGCGATGTATACGCATTTACAACAAAATGCCAGAAAATATACAAAATTTGACGTCAGTACACTAAGTTCAAAAACTTTATTAAACTAAGTTTGTATAAAAATGGTTATTTTAATAATAAGGAATTTATGGCTGATAATAACCCCTGGGAAGGGTGATTGCTACCAAGCTATTTCTTATTTGTTTTGTGTTGTTAATTGTAACATACATGATTGTAAGCTCTTAATTAAAAAAAGCTAGTCCCGTTGTGTTTCTTGCTGGTTCTTCCCAGGACGGAGGGTTTTTTGCGAACCAGTGGTAAATGAAAAAAGTGACTTTCAATAAGTATTATTCATAATCTATATTGAGTAAAAAAGTTTCTGTTTCTGTTTCGAGAGCTTACTGTGCGTAATTTTGTGATTTGTATTCTTATTTTGTGACTTGGCATTAACTTTTTGGACTGTTTCTTTTATAATAACTTTTTTGTACATGGTAGACCCATGCTACAATTTATATTATAGTTGTAGCACGAATGGGTCGGCTCAACCAGGGTAGGTTCACGCTCTCACAGAATACCGGCGTAAAATTGCAGCATAATACTGATCTGCTTCGTATGGTGAGTGTCGAGAACCGGAGACCCTTTTTATTGGAATCGAGGCATTCCATTTTAGTCCTCAGGTGTGACAACACATTTGCATTTTGATTCTTAAGTGAGCATAAATGTGTATCTCTATGGGCCATAGCATCCACTTACCATCAGGTAGAGTGTGTGCACTTGTCACAAAGGATTGGGCAAAAGTGGTAGAAAAAACAAGAAAATTGATTATGGATGACTGAAAGAGACATTAATTTTGACTGCATTATTTAAAATTAAATAATAATTAGTATAAACAACGACATCCCTACTAGTTTTACTGAAAGTGAAGTGATGGAATAAATTTATTTTTAATCGAGTTTCAACCTTAAATTTTTATAACTGTGCCTCTATAAATAAGCATTAACAACAAATACGAAGAAACTGATAAATCTTGTGTTTTAAATTATCGGTTTTTAATTTATTCTGGTATTTTTCGCACCAAACTGTAAATGATTACTAACTCTAAATAATCGATATCGATTTTTTTAAGAATCGAATATTGTATGTTCCCATCTTTTGGTTGACATGCTTGGTGCAATAATTCTGACAGTTGTCAAAATTTATTTCTTAGATTTGGTTGACTATAGATGGAGTAACGACTTGATGAAACATGGAAATAGTCGATGGAAGCAGGTGTTCAGGACCATAATTTATGCCAATCTATGGATGCGACCTACATTCAGTTGAGGACTTGTGATAGGCTTTATTGATAGTGAGTGAACTACCCTTAATTAGGTATTGATAATGTAATTGTAATAAAAAAAAAATTATTTGGATTCATAATGATTTGTTCTACAGGCGCACAAACATCTTTTCAGAACAGTGAATGAGAGCTCGTAGAATTAAATATTTGCAACTAATCTGTTGTTATAAACATATTACGTTCAAATGATTTCAATAAAAATTATTTGTAATATATATTGAATAAAACATATATTTTCTATTCTTTAGGTAATCGGTTGTCATAAACACTTACTTCCCCACTGTTATAAAGTTTAGAGGTGGGCGTTGCGACGACGAACTGTTATTGTTCTGCGACCATGAAACCCTTTAAACAGTCTTCATTGCACAAACCAGTCTTCGAACTTGATGCGATTTTTTATTTTACGCTTATGAAAATACAGTCGAGAACGCAATGATTCAACTATCTATCTCACTCGTCGCGTCGTCGTCCTTAAAGTTCCGCGTTTTGTTGGAAAATCGTTGATAGTTTTAAGAAACTGCAACCATTTCACTCAACGAAAACGCAATTTGTTTCCATGTTGAGTAAGTTTCGTCCTTTAAACCGTCTTCAAACTGTACTGTTCGTGAGGTTTCCACCCAAAGAAATCTAAGTAATAGTGCCTTATTATTTAGATTTCTATGCGTCCACCGGTTAGTGCGTTAGTCTCAGTACACGGTCGACATAAGGCTCGATCCCCGCCGACACCATTGAAATTGTTAATTGCAATTTTATGTGCTAATTTACAACGTGCTCGACGTTGAAAAATACTGTATGCCTGAAAAATAAAAAAATTCAGGGTCAGGTGAAAATTAGCACTGGATGCTGCTCCAGCTCTGTCTGAATAATTTCACCATAGCCCTCTATAAAATGAGACGAGGCTTTGTAATATATAATAATATATACACATATGTATATGCCGTAACTTCAACCTTTTTTATATTAAAAAAAATCTAAAAAGTAATATGAGAACCTTTGGAGAAATGTATTTACCATGGTCCACTTTGACCTATTATAAATCACTACCAAAAATGTGTCAAACCGAATTCTATGTATTAGTAAAGGAAATTCGCATTTTCAGTGTGAGGGTATCGGTACTGTTTTCATCAATACAGCCCAGCATATTAGTATAGGGTACTCAATGTATGCCTTCTGACAAATTATCTAAAAAAAACCTATATACATAGTTTTAAATAAATCCATCAATAAATTGGCCAAAAATGTTAATGAACTCAAAACAAGAGAAAAAAAATGCGTTATCGTGTTCAAGCATCCTATTTTCTAAATGCAGTATTCTTTCTACCTGTACTGTGGTTCGCGTAGTGTGTATTTTCTTTGACTGTGGACATTTCCATCTGCAACGCTATTTCAGTATGACTCAGCTTATCCGGCTTTATATTACAAACGCGCCCTTTATTTGCTCACTGGTTCAAGGTGAATTGCTAAATAGATCAATTTTTAGTTGTGCTTACATACGTCAGTGACACGTAATTGTGTCTATTTCTAAGCCTAAGGTCTCAATTTAAAGCGTTCAACGAGACCTGTGATTTAATAGGCAGCTAAATTAAATATTATAATGTATTGCGTCGTGCCCTGTCGTGCCTGTCTTCTTATTTTTACAATTATAAACGTCCTTACTTTTTATAAATCGAAGGCATTTAAGAAATGTGTATAGTTTCTCTCTCTCAGATAATTATTCCTTAATTTAAGTAAGCAATGATTAACGATTATAAAATTAAGTCGAATATCTTTATTAATATCATTTTTCATAAAGGCTTTAGTTCCATTTGGTAACACAAAAACGCACTATAAAGTGAAATACCCATTGGTCCTTATGTGTTGGGTCCATGGAGTAAAGTACCTCTACACCCCATAGGTAGGCACTACTGTAATAATGAAAACATGCATAGTTCTCTTAGTGTTACCGTTTTACAACTCTGGGAGAGGCCGCTGTTTCCTAAGATACAGACTCGTCTAGTTTGGGAGTCAGAGACTTCAAAAATTTTTGTGATTTATTTTTGTTGATAATAAATTATTATTATTATTATAGGTCCGACATTCTCTGAGCGATTTGTTGACTAGTAGCTATATTTCATGTGACGCAAAATTCGCTCCGGTTACTTTATTTTCTACTACCTTTATTCTGCAATAACTATTGTATGCTGACAGACACGTTACGGATTTAGTAATCTGTGGTTGCGGGTCAATCGTGAAGTGAGATGTGTTGCCAACTTTTGGGCGCCCACTTGACCTGGGGAAAAAAGAGATTCGTTTTTTGACTTCCATAATTTTAGAAGTGAAGACTTCTTTAGACACGTTGGGCACTTTTTATCATATGATTTTTTCTCGGAAAGTACGGCCTAAGAGTTGTGGATAATATTTTACGAATTTTTGCTTATATACGTTCGGGGCCCCTGTAACCCGGGGGCCCCGCATTGATACGGCTGATATGGCGCTGACTATACGCCCCTGGTATCGGTCTTAACTGTTGATGTAAGATTAAGTTCAACACACTCACTGGCACTGCAACTGCCAATTCACTTACCAAGCGTCGCGACTCGCGATTGTGGCAAATCCCGTAATATGAGAAAAGTCTATCAGTGGACTGATGATAAAGAAAAGGTATAAACGCTTTAAGGTGCTTTAAGACGTTGTAGCTCAGAGGCTAAAAGCTCACTGTAAACCGTAAAACTGATTAGTCATTGACCTAAAACGTACTACTTAGTACGTACTACAACAGATACCGCGCATAAAATTTGTGCGGCACGTCAGTGTGGAGCGCGTGGAAGGAGGCACTGAGTACTGGGTACCATTTTCATTGCACAGCCTAAGTTTGAGCCCATGGGCTCTAATGCGTGTTGCAACAGATCTACTCTGTGTATTTCTTCTAAACGTAGTACATATTATTTCAATTATTAAAGCTAGAGTAATCATCATGTACACTTACCGTGTAGTGGCATGTATGAATATTCACTACCCCATATCATCCCTTGGGTGTTGAAAGAGGTGACAGATGGAAACAGGAGATGGGCAGCAGCGTCTTCTTTATAACAACTAAAATTAAAAAAAACCGATTGCAAACCCGCTTGCCAAGCGTGGTAAATATCCTCTCTAACAGACAATCTATGGGGGAGGCCTATGTTCCGCAGTGTACTTTAAATAGGCTGTAACTTAACCATCATGTCCCGTAATGCGAAGTTATTTTGTTTGTAGTGTAATAACGATATTTATTAAAAATTACCAATCTGTCTGGATCTCGACAGCACAGCCACGCCACTTACCTCGTCCAATAGTGAATCTAAACCATCTAGGGATCCACCCGTTCATCAAAATCGATCCAACCGTTCTCAAGTGATGATCTTTCAGACATGCAACAGTTGATTTTTATTTATATAGAGACCTTTACGCACGACGACTTTTGACAACGATACAAAAACGAAAAGACTGGGCAAAAGTTCATTTGCAGCGTTGATGCTTCACGTTTGTAAAACGCTCGCTGTAGCGATTACCGAAAGTTGTATCAAAGGTGTCTGCATTACAACCTCATACCAATTTTTACTGCACACCGCACGCCATTGCTTCTTGGAAATTTACGTATGTAGGTGCGTTTTAATACGTATAAGAAGCGTGTACTTAGATACGTACTAATTTGCACAAACCCTTGCTGAAAACCTTTTTCTGACTTAACTTATTCCCTTATTACTTTTTCTAGGGCCCTTTCCGCGAACTTGTCTTATCTAACACCGGTAGTGAATACACCTCTAGTTCTCGGTTGTTATCTGTATGTTCTCTCATTCCAGAGTTATTTCTATTGAATCCTATCCAGCATCGTACACCTATCCGAATAGTAAGTGCGGTATAAGGACTTAACAACAAAAGGGTCTAAAAATACTTTTACGGATTTTATCGCGTTTATTTTACATTTAATTACTTTTATTTTTAATTCCGGACGTTTTGGGCGCTTTCCACCATCCATGGTGATTGAATGAATGAATGTGAAGCATCAACGTTCCGGGAAGTCTGCACTTTGTGATCATATCCTAGACGGCCCCAACCATTGCATCAGATTTGATTGACCACAAATCCTCGCGAAAGAACACCGATTCCTACCAAGGATGATACGGGAGGCTATTGAAATTAAAAAACATCCTAATTTCAATAGAGAAGGAGGCTGGGTACTATCAGCTGCTTGGGATCCTATAATCAATAAAATTAAAACTAAACCCAAGCATACCACTGCAAGACCTCAGGACATAGTCAGTTCATTTTGCATAGATCGGACCATAAACAATAATTAAAAAAGCTGAAGGTACTCCGGGTTTAACAATGACATCGGGACGTCAGTCATCTCAGTCCCCCGTGACCATGGGTGCTGGAAAGCGCCCGAAATGTCGGGAATTAAAAATAAAAGTAATTAAATGTAAAATAAACGCGATAAAATCCGTAAAAGTAGTTTTAATCAATGTGTAGTGTTCGCGTAAATATAAGAAATCATTAAACAAAAGGGTCGCGAATGGTGCTGAAAAATGTGTGATAACATATATTAGCCAAACGCTTGTCTTGGAAATTGTCATTTAGAATTAAAGATTTAATCTAAAATTTGACGTCTCCGTGTCGCAGTGGCTTAGTATTGAGTTGCTGCGTTGAAGGTCGTGGGTTCGAATCCCGCACGGAAGTAGTATTTGTATAAACTACAAATAATTGTTCCTGTTCTGGATATTTGTCCTTGGTGCTATTGATGTATGCTGTAAACTGCCTCCACGATACTGGAGAAAATCCTAGTTTATAGGTAACGTTTATTAAAAATGTAAAAGTAGTAAAGCTTTTTACGTGGTAGAGCCATGCTGCAGCTATATTAGTGGTATAGTTGTAGCACGAATAGGTTGGCTCGACCGGGGAAGGACCACGCTCTCACAGAATACCAGCGTGAAATGGGCCGATCCTCATTTGCCGTTCACAAGTCGTTCTCGGTCCGATCTCTGTCTGATTTATTATATTATTGGAATGGGATTCGAGCGAAACAGACCGAGATCTAAAAGAGATCGGAAAGAGTACGAACTGTGAACGGCATTATAATGAGGATCAGCCCTAATGCTTCTGTGTTTCGTATGGTGAGTGT